ACAAACAGAGTGTTTATTTCTCTTTCCTTACTGATGGTGTTGGTCGTAGTGGCTGTGTGTCCACCATAATGTCAGTGATAGAACGAGTCAAGACTGAACAAACAGTTGATGTGTTTCAGACTGTTAAACTGATTCGAGCCAGGAGACCTGGTGCTGTCGATACTCTGGTAAGTTAATCAATACTGAGGGATGCTTATTGTCGTATCTTGAATCGGAGTAATTTGATTTGTCTGATTTCAAACCTAATTGAAACAATGACCAAACAAACTTTTTTCTTGCATGAATTATCGTAGTGAACAGAAATGAGAAAACGAGAGGATCAAGAAATTTGTCGAGTGTTCTCATATATTAACCCGGCGTGTTTTATGACAGTATAGTGCGTTTTGTTTTCTTATTTGCTTTATGATTTAGGTTGAAGGTGCGCGGAACACTGCTTTGAAATTTCGCGCTGAGATAAAACGTTTTTTTAAACCAATCAGAGCCGGCGTGCAAAATCTAGTCTACATGATAGCATTCTTTATTATATAGCAAACTGGCCAATAATCGTTGGTTAATCATCATTCTGATTGGTTCCCTGAGCAATCTGAACTTTGTATCACAGCCTAATAACATGCTCACGCACTAGGCTCGCCGATTTTATTGTTGAAGCATTGTACAACTGAAAAACGTTTTCTGTTAAGCAAAAACGTTTATTAGTTATAATTGTTATATGGCTCATTGCACGAATGAGCTTTGAAATAAAAGTTCTGCGCAGTTGCCAAGTATCGATGAGTTATTTAGAAGCAAACACGTGATTGAACTACTTCATTCGGCATGCTTTTTTAATCAAAAGAGATCTGCCTATATAGGCAAACACATGCAAAAAGTACTGAAAGATTTAATACTTGACGTTTCGGATAATGGCGTCATGATGACTCCGTAACGTCGACTGAGCATTCAATCTTTCAGTAATTTTTACATTTTTTTTCTTGTTTTTGCAAGTTTACGAACATCTTGGTCAGCTTTTGTTCATTAATGTGCTAACCAAAGATACCGTCGATGGTTGGCTGTCTTATATTTCTGGGAAGGTCAAAACACTCTGTCCTCTCACCTCGTGCGAAGTGATTTTCACGCTCGCCCACAAGGACTAACTCCTGTGAGAGGACGTGTTAACTCAAAGTCTACAAAAGCGACAGAGCAAGAGCGTAAAATAACAAAAACAGACCTCACTGTCTGCAGTTATATGTGACATTTAACAAATCAGGCATTAGTGTACTACAAACGTGGCGGTTTCGAGCAGATTTTCAAAGTGTTTCTTGGGAAGTGTTAAACAATACAATTGACGTTCAATTGACGTTCTCAGCGAAAAAACACGTACTGGTTTGAAAAATATGGAAATAGGTTCTTAGATGGTGTGATTTTTAATTTTCCAAATACGTTCGGCATCTTTAAGTCCTTTTGTTCATTTCACGGGTTTTTGGCTTCGCATCGGAAAACGTAAATAGTGTCTTTGTGTTCAACCAATGAGTTGATTTCCCAAGTGTCCTTGTACGTGATCGATTTAATTAGTTATGACAAATAGTTTTTTAGTATCTTGCTCTAGGAACTTGAAGTACTGTTAGCGATAGTGTTTTTCAAAAGTAAAGCTATGCTTTTCCCGAAGCGAAGCCAAAGCGAACTTGTTCCTTGGGAATAACTCTTGTTATTTAAAAGTAATAATTATCTTGTAGTTCAAAGTTGAATAAGGTTATTGTATACAAGGTGTTAGTTGTAAAGGCAATTGTTCTTTAGTGCCTTGTTTGTACAGGGACCATCGACCAGAAATATCGTAAACAACTTAGTATTAAAATATGGAGTAGGCGGAACAAGCTAGAGCAGCAAAGGAACGCCCTTTCTTCTTCGAAATCTCGTACAAGTTGTTGTTTGAACATTGCGTGCGCAATAACTTTTAGTTTGACTTTTCTGGTACAATCTTGTTACTTTAGTTTATGTTATTCTGTAAAAATATTCCTTGTAATTTTTATATTGCTTGCGTTGTTTTATCGGGGCCAGATAGCTAAAGTATGTAAGTGAAAATTTAGGAAAAAGGGACGATTTTGACAATGTTTGCGTAATCACAGAGATGAACCTTCCCGATGTAACACCTTCGTGTGAAGCGTACTGCGCAAGTCATTGCGTAAGAATTGATTACGAATCTTGACATTTTCTGACATTTTGATGGATGATTGACAGTTCGTATCTGGTCCCCATAAAAGAACTCGAGTAGAATTTCCAAGCCAGAACCAGTTGAACGCCGAACCCATTGAGTGTGCTGAGAAGACAAATAAAGAAGTTATAACCAACGATCCATTGTAGTAGTGAGAGCCGAGCTGACCCCCATCAAAGTTCTCAAAGTTCTCCTATTACA